ACCTTCCTCAATATGGTGTCTTGATAAAAAAAACTGGATTAACATGAGTGTGCGTGTTTGTCATTAGCAAAAGCATCCAGATTTGTAAAACTTTGCCTCAAATCATTATGACAGAGATCCTCTGTCAAAAATGACCCATCTTACTATGTGTATGATTAATCCAGGTCTTACTTCAACAAAAAAAAAAAAACCACAGCTATATATGTATCTATTTTTGATATCATGGTACAATTTGTGTGAAGAAGTCATACACTTCAGTCAAGAAGAGATTAAGGGCAATAGTGAAAACAAAAGGTGGCTATTTTAAAATAATAATGGTTAAATATACATGCCATACCTGATACAGTTTTTAAGTTAGTGACATCAAATATTAATATCCCTTTTCTCATGCTAAAGGCTGTTCATTTGAAAGCAAACAAGAAGATAAAGTCCAATTAACTAAACAAAAAAGAAATTTAGATTTCTAAAAAGTTATTCTTAGCATCGCTTGATAACGGAACAGAATTTTGTATTTTAAATTTAATTTTTATGATTGAAGTTTTGGTTTTGAAACATGTGAATTTTGGTGTTAGGATAAAATATATTTAAAAAAAAACAAAAAACAATTATAATATATATTTATATATATATATATATATATATATATATATATATATATATATATACACACACACACACAGGTGGGGAATATAAAATTAAGTACACTAAACTCAATCTAATACAAATATTGACAAAATAATTTGATCCCTATTTAAAAATAAATTAAAGACAACATGAAACTTCAAGGACCATCAATAAATATATTAAAAGAGTGTTAAAAAAATTTAAACTCTATCCAGAACTTTCTCATAGGCTGCTATACCAGTTGTTATTAATCTTATATTGAGGGAAATTATACTGAAAATCCCAATTTAATTTTTTTTTTTTACTACAAAAATTTCTGAGTTTTTATTTTGCCTTATTTTACATGGAGTGAAATCTTATATTAAGAAAAATTATTAAAAATTATTATTTGAATTCAAACATAGGCCTCACAAAATCAACAACCAAATAAAAATTAATGAAATATTGTGAGAAAATCAAGGATAAAAAAATAATATAGGTTTTCAAAAATAATTGCATATGTAAAAAACAAAAAAGATTAAAGTAATTGGAATTAAATGAAAATTGCCTAATGATTTGATATTAGAAATTTGTCCATATAAAAAAAAGAACAGATTATCTTAAAAATAATCATTAAATAATGGCTGATAATAAATAATAATAAAAACAGTTTATAGCCAAAAGTTTTGTCATATAATAATACATCTTTGCCACTAACTTTATATATTTATATTAAAGAACCGGTGATCCAAGTCAAACATAGAAATAGTTTTAAATCTTTAAATGTGGAGTTCTACTTAATTATACAAATCCCTTTCCTTTTCATATGATTATATTTTTTGTGCAAGGAAAGGAGCCAGAACGAATACAATCATTTCTAATATTTATCAGGTTATTCTTTCTGAAGCTGTTGGCCATAAGAAAACAATGCATTATCCAAAGAAGAACTTAAAAAGTCCTTTATTGCATCTTCAAGTCTAACAGAAATATACCTCTCTAGAAAAAAAAAAATGTTTGATAGTGTAAGAGTTATTTCCCTTGATTGCATTTGTACCATTGACAGCTCTACATTTGCAAGGGTGTGCACACGTTTAGACAAATAAACAAAAACAGGCATATTATATTCTTGGATAGCATACAGCTACCTTATTAGAAAGAAAAAAATAATTAAAACAAACAAATTATGAAATATTAATATCCCTTTGGAGTAAAACATAACAGAAAATCTATCTTGACATACGTTCTGTAATTTTAAAAGGTCATTATAATTCCTAGAGTTATTCAGACTACTGATCTTATTCTAAACATCAATATATTCTACAGCCTTCCCCAGATATACAATTGTTAAACTAATAAATGGTCATTTCTATTTTATAGTACTGTTGGACACTAATTTTGAGTGAATCATCATCATAGCTGTTTCAACTTGATTGGTTTGGCTTGTTTTACAATATATCAACCTCAATGGGTTATTTTAATGCTGACAAGATCTTTATTGCTGGTAATATTTTTTTTCCAAAAATATGTTGTTGGTAATACTTTTTTTTTCAAAAATGTATTGTTTGTATTTTTATTTTTTTTTTTTTTAAATGTATAGCTGGTAAAAATTTTTCCAAAAAAGTATTGCCAGTATTAAAACCTATTATTATACTTTCATAGCGCTTTGACCCCTTTTGCAGGGTTAACTATTTACCCATAGCTGGGACGCTGACAAGTGCTACCACCCTTGGTCAGGGTTGACCTGGGAACAACAGCAATTAAGAGGTTGTTCCACGCTCCTCAAACCTTCTGATCAAAGGCCTTGCTGTCAGATGTAATTTATCATCATACCCAGGACATGTTTCAACTTGAAGGCAAACTGCAAATCACTATGATTTCTCATGTTCAACATGACTGCTCATTTTTGCACATGCCTATTTGCTGAGGCACATTTGTGTTTCTTCAAAAACCACAGAGACAACCTGTGGTTTATATTAGAAATATGCTGAGTGGAACTTAGTTATAGTTCAAGTATGTGTCCCAAGAAAGCCATATATAGTTTTGAATTCAGAATTCTTCTTCTCCTAGACTGTTTGCAAACCATGGCTAGAGAAATCCCGTTTACCCTACTGTTTAAACCATGGAGGAGGGAAAGAGAACAGATGGATTCATACCTTCACAAAGGGTATTTGTGCAAAATCAGCTAACTGGTTTCTCATCCCAAGCTGTTAAACATTTTACACATCCAGAGAACGAGAGGAGAAAATATTCTTCCTACCTCTTTCTGAATAAATTGTAAACCTGAAGAAGGTCATAGAATATATTAGTCAAAATATTATGGTAGCAGTAAAAGTATAAGATCCATTAGCCCCAATTCTCTTTGAGAGAGCGTACTGATTAAGTTAGGCTAAAACTGTATCAGATATCAATTATAAATAATCCTACCAAGGAAATCTAATGAAATGCACTCACACACACACACGTACTCACAAATACTCACACATTTATTACAGAACTCTAAAGATTAAAAATATTAAATAAGAGAACAATCTGAAGTGAGATTTTCATTCTCACTGATTGTTAGGTATAAATGTTAAAATTGTACATGTTATGGCTTGATTATTATGTAATAAAGCCAATGAACATGTCAAACAGTCGTCAGTATAAATTGGATTAATTGATTTATTTTTTTCAGGTTATTTTAAAGCCAGAAAATATTTTTAGATTGTAAGAAATTTTTCTGGAGATGATAATGATTTGGCTGAAACAAGCCCTACTATTTAACCCATAGTCATGGGGGGAAGATGAGGTGGATTCATACCATTCCCAAAGTTATTTGCATGTAAGTGAATATAACGAACAAGACTTGAAATTGGAACTCGGCTCTCAAATTTCCAATTCTGTGCCATTATCTGTTACATCACCTGCATATCCAAGCTTACAGCACCTGGTTATCCCAAGCAGTCACCCATCTAGGTACTGACCAGGCTTGACGTTGCTCAACTTTGGTGAATGTAATATGGCTACAAGCCAGTGTAAATTGGTAGTTAAATTTGACAGTAAATAATCTAAAGCGTGAGTTTATAAAGTCTATATGCAATTTTAAATATTTATAGTTTTGAAGCTATAAATAATTAATCTTTAAAAAAAAAAAAAAAAAATGTAATCTTCATGTGTCTTGTTTTTTTTTCTCATTATTCAAAAATTTGATACTTGTTCTTTTTACCAATTATTCCTTATCCTTTTCTTGAAACTTTGAAACAAGTGTTTTTTTTTTTTTTTGTGGAGGGGAAAGTTTCCAGAATTATTATCAACCCATGGCTTCACCAAAAGAGAAAGTAAATGGTGTTCTTCGGTTTGCAGAATAAAATCTGTTGCTGCTGTCCAAAGAAGGTTTAGAGCTCATGACAAAGAAGCACCACATAGGAATTTCATATCCAAGAGGATGAAAAAGATTCCAGGAACAGATAAGCCACAGTTTAGTACAGAGATTCTCAACTGCTGTGCCATGGCACACTAGTGTGCCATGTGACCCTCTTAAGTGTGCCTCAAAATCTTGATGGTACAGGGTTAGTATTTGAATAAATCAATAACTATTAAACTTTTTTGTCAAATAATTCTTTTCATGATACTTCTATTATGTTATTTTATTGTTTTAATATTCGTCTTTTTTAAAAGTATTTTTATTCTTTCAATTTAACTTTTTAAAATTTTCCTTTATCTGAATAAATGAATATTAACTATTTTTTCATATAATTGTATTCAATATTCTTTGTTTAATTCAAAATTTGTGGTTTTATTTCATAACATTTAAATGGAAAAAAATTTTGCCAAGTGTGCAGTGATATTTTCATTTGCTCTTAGGTGTGCCCTTGCTTAAAAACATTGTGATATACAGGTCTATTAGAACAAGTCAAGAAAGTAGGGTCTAAGTTTCAACTGCTGAAGCCCTAAATTATATGAAATTCAAGGTCATTCTCTGAAAAAAAATTTGGTTAAAAAAAATTTTAAATAATTATATATGATTATTATTAATGATTATATAAAATTTTTGATGATTTAGAATTAAAGAATAAAAACTAATGATAAAATAAAAATATATTTTTAAAAAAATGAGGCCTTGGAGGGTGTGGGTCCTTCAGCTGTATATTTATTTAGATTATAGGTAAGTGTAACACTGGAAGAAAGTGTAGTATCCATAGAAGAACGTAGGTATTTTTTTTAAATTATTTTTTTTTATCCTTTTTACAGTAATTCTATTAGTCAGTTACAAAATTATAAGTATTTAAAATTGCAAACTTCATAAACATCCCATATTGCTCAATTTTCAAAACTGAATGTTTATAATTGAAAAGAAAATATAAAACCAGACTACATGTGTAGTCAAACAAATCTGTCTGGATCGTGTTATGACGTACCGTCTAGATGGCGGTGCAGCGGACTGGAACTTGTTGTTTCTGTAGAGAGATTTGTATTGGTCGTATCTACCGACAAAGTATCTCCTGTGCCACTCGGATCTGATAAATCCAAACTGTTGGTATTAGGCTCGTAATGATGTGCAGATCTTAACCTGTTGTCTAAGCTGCGACGAGATCTTCCCTCATCTTCTAATGGTCCATCCTCAGCTGTTTCAGTACTTCCTCGATCTGAACCTATAAATAACAAGAACAGGACTTTAGTGTGTGTGTGTGTGTGTGTGCATATACATAAGTAAAATTATGATTAAAAAGTATGAGAAAATACAAGAATGATTTTTAAAGTTTACTAATAAATCAACCACATTCCAATTTATAACCAGAAGAATTTTATATATTTTCAATTAACTATTTCAAAATTTTTAAATTATGACTACCATTGAATATGGTATATTTGACAAATTATACTTAAAGTAAAAAATGAATGGTTATGAAAGAGCAATTTTTTTTTTAATTTAATAACTAAATAAAAATCAATTTTAATTTTACACTGGACTGAAAATTTGCCATTTTTAAAGTTTAATCTAGATAACATGCTTTCAGACAGATAAATTTATGGAGAAACAAGATGCCTGTTCATGGCTCTTCAATAATTATAGCCCCAAACCACTGAATAGCAAATAATGTATTCTATTTTATCCAATGGTCATCTGACAGATGAAAGTTCAGTCAACTGTGCAACTTTTAATCCTTTGCCAAACAAAAGGCACATATAATTAAGCCTCAAATCAGGTACCTATTTCAAACAAATTATTTAAAAGTCAAAGAAAAAAAAAGAAACTATATTTAAGAATACTAATCCAAACTAATACTGATATCAAAATATATAATCAAATAACTTAACCTCACTTAGCAAGAATATCAATTGATTTGTTTTTTACAGCTTAACCCTTTATGGGTTATTTAAAGTCTGAATATATTTTGGATTGTAAGAATTTTTTCTTTGCAAGTGAACATTAAGAAAACACTGATTTTCCCAAATACAAGTCATACTATTTAATCTATAGCTGGGGGAAGATCTGGATTCATAATTTTGCCAAATGAAACAAACATAATAAACAAACATAATAAACCCAACTGGAATTCAAATTTGGATCTCCAATTTCTCATTCCAAACCACTATTACACCATCCACACATCCACCTTGAGAATAAAAAGGTAACTTGCAGTGTCCAAATGACAGCATGAATTCAAATTTTGCCAAAGGTAATTCATATGGCTTTCCCCTATTCACAAACCACTTTTATTTTTCAAAAGTTAAATCAAAATACATATAAGGAGCAAAGGAGATTTATTTATCTCAATCAGTATCTGTTGGGTTGATATGAAGGCAGGCATCTGGTTAGAAAACTTCCATTCAATAACTTAACTCTCTGTAAAGGAAGCTTTAACACTTCCTTCCAAATCCCATAAAAAGAAAAAGGTGTTAAAAGTAAAAAGATTAGGATATTGGTCTGTATAGACTACTATAAACAGAATTTGACTGAATGCACTAAAGTTATTGATGGTCAACTGATTATGTGTTAAGTTGTTATACCTTATATAATGAATTAATTTATAATGGCAGTAGTCAAAATGGTGTCCCTATTAAATGTTTTGTGGATAATAAAGATTTATATGAAGCTATCTACTTCAAAAGACAAGTAGCTGAAATGCAGCTAAGAATGGAGATTAATACCCTAAAAACATGTTGGAACAGAATGAAGTTACAGCAATTGATTGGATTCCTACAGCAAAACAGATTGCAAACATTATAAGAAAACATGATGTTTATGGACAACTTATATTATCCTATTTGAAAAGGGTTTTTTGTATTAGCAATAGCTAACTACCATATTTTCATAGGACTGTATTCTAACATAATCAATATGAAAAAAATTACTAAAGAACTTTTAAAAAAAGAGGGAAGCAAAAAAAAAAAAAAAAAAAAAAAAGAGAATATATATAAGATTGTTAAGTTGCTAAATAGCTCCAATGTATATTTACAACCCGGCACAAGTACTGAACTAATAGCCTTCAGCTAATGTAAACTTGTGCTTTATTAAGTTAACTTGTTCAACCTGCAGTTGAAATGGTTTCTGCCTATCGAGTTCTATATAAACGTGGTTTTATCCATTGGATATATATCAATCTATTTGCCTAATGAAGTTATATCAGATTAGATCAACACTAAGCTCATTTAGTATAGAAGTTAATTAAATCAAATAATTCTATTCCCTCAACTAGTAATGCATGCATTACTGAACTCTAAAAATCTTTCTTCCTCATTCTCAAATGTAGTGTACAGAATGAGTGAACAAATTTTAGGCTAGAAAAAAAAGGGGGAAGGGAGACTCAGTGGTTATATCAATTTCTACTTTTAAGCAGTGATATGTCCCTTTCTTTCACCAACACTCAACAAGAGTGGGCTATTATAAATTCTTCTGGGTGGAGACAATTCAAGCATAATTTTTTTTTTTTTAAATCTATAAGCACATCCTATAAGTTGTTACTTTGTTAAACTTTTCTGACAGATCAACATTAAATAATCAACATTTTTCATTCACCTTATACTTGCTACATCTGTTTACATATTAATTAAAGAATATAGATTTTGGCATCTGTTTATTTCTGGTTATATAATTATTTAACACTTTTAATGCTGCATTATTGCAGCATTATTTCTATGCACTGCTGGCTTGTTTGGTGGGTGGGATAGCAAATTGCCATTTATTGGAAATAAATGCCTATAAAGAGGATGACAGCAATTTCTCATGGGCACTGCCATTTTGGTTTTGATCAGATATACTGAAGTAGTAAAGACTAAAGTAAACAATATGACCAACATACAATATATTAAAAATATCTACCCATACTGATCATATTGTATACTACTATATCTCTATGCTAGTTTAGAAATAGCATTAAGTGTAAATTGTTTCACAGCACAAATATTAGGGAACAAAATTTTACAGTGTCTTGAAGATGTATATATACATCAACAGCAGGTAATATAAACATGTATAAGTATGTTTACATCAGCAAAAGTGTTAATAAAGTTTGTAGCCCCAAAAGTTAATTTCAACTTGAGCCTAGAATCAAAACAAATCTTAAATAAATCACTCATATATGTAACTGTAAAACTAACATTTTTTTTTACTCCACAAAGAATACATTTGAACATTAAACACTAATACTTACAAATCAAGTGATGGAAAGTTACAAATAGTTGACATTATTATTAATTTTTAACTTGTCTTTTTTCTATCTTTATTTGTTTCTGCTTCATAATTCTCAGACCTTCATTCTACAACCCTAAAGTCATAGAATAAAGGATTAACCTTAAAATAAGATAAAAAAATAAATAAATAATAGTAACAAAGCTTCATTTAAGAAATTCACAAGCTGTTAAATATAATTGTCAGTTCCTAGTATTTAGTCATGAACATTATATTCTTGTTAAAACCAATTAAATCAAAGCATATAACAATGCATCATAATGTAAAGGGTTTCAGTTAGATTGTAGCACTTTTTGGATTCAGAAAAACAAACAATTCAGATAACCTTGTAAAATTCCAATCACCAGTTTAAACCCCCATTAAAATCTAACCTAAAATCATGATTGAACTGCTTTTCTCAAATTCTTTATATAGTAAAGAAATATTTCCTCTGAGAATGATTTAATGAATAAGGCTATGGGGTTTTTTTTCTTTTCTTTTTTATAATGATGTTCACCCTGTACAAGGCCCAAAATCCACTTGAGGTAGATGATTACAGTGTAAGAGGCACAGGTTATTAGGATATGTAGGGAAGATAATAGTTAACCCTAGACCTCAACAGGTTAAGATTGTAGTGATCTGAGAAGCATCCTCTTGGGAGTTCGTTCCACAGAGCAATTTGTGCAAAGAAGCTACTCAAGTGGAACTTACATGTCAGCAATAGAATACAAAGGGAATGAGGATGGTTCACTAGAATGTGCATGGCATGGTAGGTCTTAGCCATTAAAAGTTAGATTTGGTCGAACTAAGGAATTTAGTTTGTTTGAAGACTTTCCATGGAAATAGCAAGAGGCTTGCAACATTGCAAAGGAGTTATATGGTGGAAAATAATTCATCAACCACAAGGACATGGAGATGCTTTTGAACTATCAAGACTATAAAGGCTCTATTTATACTGTAAGTTCCTAGTAGCAATAAGACAGACATTCTTTCGAAGTGCAAATTTCACAATATTGAAGAAAGAAACAATGAATATGTTAAAAAAAGACAAAACAAAAACAATCAGAAATAAGGATAAGACTAATGAGCATAATTAATCAGTTTTCATTATACGAAAAACAATATAAGAAGTTATATTTTTTATTGAATGTTGGTACGTTTTGGGACTTTTATTCCCTTCATCAGCTAAAGATTTACAGAGATTTAATTTTTAAGTTCAAATGCAAAAAAACTAATACAATAATTCAAAATTCTTAGAAAGAGGAGAAAAAAAAGGGTAGGCTTTGTGCAACAGATGATTGTCATAATCTTGCAAAAATTATTGTTACATCCTCAAGGCTGTCAGATATGATTCAACTTGTTGCCAATCGCCATCTTCTGAATCCTATTCTTTTATTGTCCTTTCTCTTCACTAAAGACTTCTCATTCTCTTTCACTCCTAATACCTCTATGAATCCTAGTGGCATTATCACCTTCCTTAAGTGAATTTTAAAAAAAAAAAAAAAAAAAATGTAACGCTCTTTTTTAGCAATTAAATTAATTACAATCCTCAGCTGATGAAGGCAATAAAAGACCTGAAACATGAAGCAACCTCCAATAACAAATGTCATGCAGTTTTTATCTACAATTCCATTGTGCCAATAGAATGGTTCAGTAATAATAGAAATAAATAACTAAATAAAATTGGCATTATTCTGGTCTGCTCAGAATAGATTGGAATGAAAGATTATCACTTTCAGATCAACATTTCATAGACATGAAGAAGATGAAATCAAGACAAGAGAAAAAAAAGACTTTGAAAGCAAAGAATTTACAGAAACAACATATTAGGTATGCTATTTTGACAGAGAGATAAATAGAGAATAGAGAAAAAAATCTGGGAGGTTTAATGATGGGGATTGCAAGCAACGGTAGTACCTAAAAGATTCAAAAGAGTATTTTATTTTTTATATTGATTCTGGCATCATACGAATTGCTACATAAACTCATGTCAACTAAGATCAATAAAATTCAAGTTAAGTTAAAATAGAAATTCACCAAAGAAGGTGAAGTTTTCCTAGTGTCAGGTACCTTCTCTCCCAAACACACGCACGCACACAAAACAAGCATGGCTAAGCACCACAGCTGGAGGTAGGTAATATGAATTATTGCTTAAATGGTACAATGGTGCTGTAAACTATTATTGTAATATCAATATCAGTTATAAGAGAATAACTGCGGGGGAGGGGCAATGTCGGTCATGTATATATGTGGAGACAGATGTTGCTGGATCAATGATGACAATGATTGGTGAAGGATAGGTCAGACAGAAATCCACAGAAAATGACTTTGTAAAATTAGTTACCATAGTAACATCATGAAAGCAATAAACATTAAAAAAAAAAAAAAAAAGAAAATTTAAATTTTAAACCTTATCACTTCCCATAAGATTATATATATATATATATATATATATATATATATATATATATATATATATATATATATTAAAAAATATTTTAGTTTATTAAATTTTTACCTGACCTTTAAAACTAGAAAATCTTATTATGGCTTTAAAAGGACATTTTAAAGTTGCATATTGAATAAGTACTATTTTAAAATGTATGTTTTCAAAGCCATAATATTCTTCACAAAAATTTTATTATGGCTTTTAAAATGGTCATTTTAAAGTTGTATATTTATTATTGAATATATACTACGAACATATCAAATATGTTCATTTTTTTTAAGGCATACATAAGAATAAATGGTATAAACTGTTCAGTCATCAAAAAGTAACAAATGAATTATTCAATATATTTTTCAAAAATTATTATCTACCATTGTTTTTATATTTTGTTTTTTGTTAAGTGATGCTTTAAATATGAATGTAATATGGAAATAATTTTTAGAGGGTTAAATTTTATGCAACTCTTGTGATAAACTGCAAGAAAAAAAAAACCCTGCAGTGTATATACATTTTTTTCTCCCTGTTCTTTTCAAAGACAGAAGACAGATTGAAATATGGGGACTTGATAACATGTGATTGAATACAGTAAAGTTGGTCAGTCATTTGCAAGTAGGCAACTTGCTTTCAGTGCATAAGCCTTAACTTTTTAAAAATTTCAATAACTTAATTATAGCAAGAAAAATACAACTTTCTATATAAATATTTTTCCGACAAAATTTAAAAGGTATTATCCTTGGTCTAATTTTTATTTCCTTTTAAAATTTATAAACTATCCAGCAAATTATTTATTGAACTTTTAAAAAAAAAAAAAAAAAAATCCTTTGTGACAGTTAATAAAATCAAAGAAAGTAAACAAGATAAAGACTCATAAAAGTATTTGATAAAAACTTGTGCATAAATTACAATATAAGAATATTAATTACAAGTTTAAGATCTATTTTAACAATTGTTAACACAATCCTCTCACAATCAATTTTGCATATGAAATGAATTTGATCCTAATTGGGGGGCTAAAATTGTGCTGAACCAGGCACAAGTTAATGATAAAGTCATACTAAAAATACAGATTATTATCTGATTTTCAAAATCAAACTGCATCAAATCTGATATGTAGATGAGGGACCAATTAGCAATGTCTGGTACTGTAACCAACTTGTAGCCTTGTGCCAAACTATGATCTCTATTTTATTCTTTAAATGTCATGTCCCATCAAGATATAGGTGATCATGAATTTCAAAATTAATGATTAATACTAAAGATGGTAAAAGAAGGTTTATTTTTCCACTGGGCTTCCTAACATGAAAATTTGAAGTAATAGCTTAAAACAGCTGTAGTCTTTTTCAAAATAATAAGTATATGTTTTTTATTGTACATATGTTTCTTCCTTGCATTTATTTCAAAATATGTAACAGCAGCAAATCAGCATGCATCTATTTATTTATTTATCAGCAAGTCATGTGGCACAAGTAGCCATTTATAAAAAAAAAAAAAAAAAAAAACTAGTATAGTGAATTATATAAATATAAATATATGTTATGTTATGCATATTTAAATTTATTTAATAATGTTGTTATAATGTATTATGAATGTTTATTATTTTTCACACACAATAATTGGAATATAAAATGAAATTGTTTATGCAAATTGATATAAGAATGTGTATTGAAAACAAATACAAAATTTCCTATTAAAAATGCCGTAAAAATGGAAAAATGACCCTAGCTAATAAACCCTTTGTCTAATTTTAATGAAATTTGGCCCTGCACTAGGCAAGTGTTCAAGGTACAATATGCTCCTAAATAGGGTATTATATATTGTTTATATGGGCATGTGGCCGAGTGGTTATAATGTTCGCATTCTGGCCAGGAGACCCAGGTTCAAATCTCACCATGGTCAATTTGTCAGGAAGGATCAACCCATCCAGTTATCGGACTGGAGGGGTCAATCCCAGCGTTTACGGGCACTTTCCAAAGTGCCTGAAAACCATACCACAGGATGACCCAAACCTTGTGAGTGAAATTGGGTAGACAGAACCCTTGGGGAGCCATCAATAACTGTACTAGCACAAAGTCACAAGTCATTGTGGCTGAGGGCTTGAGTATGCTGCCCTCATTCAAATTGATGATCATGCTAGATAACACGCTCTTTCCCCAGAAACTTTAAGGTCTGCACAGCAGGTGGGCTCTGTGAGTGTTGAACAAACACAAATTAACTGAAAGAATGGTTGGTTCCCTGTATTACTCCAGTAAATACCTTAACCGCCTCTGCCACACTCTGCCTTTATAAATGTCAGATCAGACTAAGAATGGCGTATTGCTGTCATATAAGGGCTGTTGCCCAGTCCTCACTGTCCAGTCTCGACAAAGTTCAAAAGTGATTTACTCAGCCTTGAGGATGATGAATTATTCGCTGCCCGGCAACCCACAGATGGAATGTTGCTAACCCGTCACTATTCACAGTTAATATAGCAGATGTTCAACCAACTTATAGTCCTCAGTTTCACCAACCCAGGCCTTGACAGCTAGAACACACCATGCCATATTCATGATGGCAAACCATCCCTATTTCCTCAGTATTCCTTTGATAAAGAAAAAGTTCCGAGTCAGCTTCTTTCCCAGAACTGTTACTTTATGGAACAAACTTCTTGGCTTTTTCAAGTCTAGGATCAACCGATATCTATCCTACTTCTTTTATATGTCCCTTCAGGACCATAGACGAACATGGTCCTCCACATCTTCCTGTCCCTTGTAGCACTTAATATTCTTTTTGTTATTTCTCCCAAACCTTGTTCTACCATCCATTTGCTCAAGCTCATTAAGTATGTTATGCACTGTTTTCCTCTGTCCCTCTTTCCCTCAAACTGTCCTGTGAGTATCAGATTTTCCAAGCCCTCCTTCCTCATTACATGTCTCAGAAATTCCAACTGCTTAAGTTTCCTTTTTGTTTCCATTTT